TACAATGTCTAGCACAGTCTCAGTTGCACAATTGTAATACAAGTAAAAATAGTTTTATTTGCTATAATACAAAAACTTTGTAAGTTACCTGATTATACAATCTATTAAAGAGGCAGCAAATGAAAATAAGGTGAACTGCGACAGACAGACTCACCCAAGTTTCAGAGAGAAAGAGCACATGTAAAATTGAAAGGGGGGAACTCAGGATTAAGATCTTGCTGTGCAAGAAAGGGGGCAGGAGTTAGACGTGAAAGGAGAGAAGGCTAGAAAGAAAAAAGTGAGGTCAAACAAATGGAGAGAAACTCCAAGAAGGAGCCTGAAAACTGGGTAGAGACTTTGTATCAATTTCTGAAATAGACAGGGAGCCAGGTTAAAATTTGAGGTGATGTGTTTCTAATGAAGAAACAACCTTCCACATTTTAAAGTCAATGAAAATTAAATTTTCTATTACAGTAATCTAGATGACAGAAGATGAGAATATGAATCATTTTTATAAGAGGAGCAAGTCCTGAAGATTTTCAATATGAGAAATGTATACACCTTGGATACGAGGGTTGCAGAAGAATTAAGGGTCAAGATGAGAACAAATCAAGATTTATAAAAAATGGATACCAAGTGGAAGGGAGATCAAGGGAGTGTACATTTGGCTCTAAGGGCTGCTGTTAATCAACAGAATCTGATTTTTGGATATGCCTAGCCGAAGGACACTAAATTCCATACAGATCTCTGCTACCACAAATCTGTATATTAACAGTTCTCAAGAAATGAGAGAGTTGTTTAATATTTTACAACTAACTTACATTTCAAATAATATTTTTTTATCCAACAACCAAAAGATATGTACAGTATTACAATGTTATAACATTTATCAAGGAATACAAAGTTCAAGATATCCTCTCCAATATATAACACCATTTAACACCCCTGATTAATGGAAGGAAATCTTGCCCAAAATGAACTTAAAAAAATATTTGGTATTTCTGAAGACTATTTGGGATGCTAAATTTACATAAAGCACTTGTCAAGCATTTCATTACAGTATTAACGAAAATGGAAGACTTTTACTCCAAAGCCTAGACTACACAGAGAAAGGTTTGCTGGGTATACATATACCAGCAGAATCTGAGTGAAAGCTGCATCTACGCTTTTTTAGCAGTGTTTCTGCTAATACAGCTTATACCAGGTCCCCAAACGAAATACACTATATCAGCAAAAGCACTTTTATGAAGGAATGTCCATGTCTACACGAAGGCTTTCGCCAGGACATAAATGTCATCAAAAAAATCTTACCTGATATTGCTTATAATAGCAGAAGTTTCTAGCATAGACCTGGCCCAAGTGTTCAGATTTAGCATTCTTTGCAGAACTCAACTTACGGCTTCACATGTACAGACAGGTATCAGTCCTCCTTCCCACCAATTTTTGTCAACTGTTCACAATGAAGCGGTACCAGTACTTTTGTAACTACTGAGAAAATCTAAGATGTTCAGCTCCTAAAGTCAAGAGTTTAAGGGATGCATTAAGAATTACAAGGGATGACAAAACAAGATGTAAAGTTTAACCATTAATTTACTAGAAGAAAAACCATTCACAATATCAAGATTTTTTTTATACTCCTCAGTATCCAGGAGAAACAGTATTTTAGTGTTGGCAAATGATATGAACCTGTAGTTAAACACTTGAGCTGGCTTGTAATACAGTATTCCCTTCCTGCTTCTTCTTCCCCCGGACAAGGAATTTAGCCTTTATTAGAATTTATTTTTATAAATATTATTTATTATTATGTTTTATATAAAACATTTTTAAACTGTAAAAACTCTTAAGTTATACCACATTCTGTGGCTTCAGAGTAAATATTGCTTTCAAAACAGGAGAGAAACAACAGCCAAGGCTTCTTAGAAAGAGATCCAGCACTGCGACACAGTGGGGAAGAGGCGACTGGATGAGCAGAGAAGTGAGGTTTACTAGTGCAACCCCATGTGAACACCTTTTGAATTCTCCCAATGCATTTTGTGTTCTGAAACAGAATTCCCAATACCTTCCTTTTTTGTGTGCATTCTGAAAATGAACTAAATACTCTTGGTACGTAACAAAAACACAACTGGGGATGAATTATAGACCAAGTCTTGGCTTCTGTATGATGAAAATATTTGACATCTGCTAGTTTCAGCTCTAGCAACTCAACTAGACTCACCACTGCTCTTAGGTCTCCAATCTGCCAAATCCATATTTTAAATTAACACTGAACCAAATAAGCCAACAGTGAGAAATATACAAAAAGAATCCCCTTCACGCTTGCAAGCAAAGCGAAATGGCCACAACAATTTAGAAATTTCTGACACCTCACTTTATGAGCACAATCAAGTTCACAAGCTAATATTTAGATTACTGCAAAAAACAAAAACAAAAAACAAAACAAAAAAATGTAATGTTTCTAGTAAATAATTAAGGTAAGTTCAAAAGCATGATGCAACAATTATCCTAGGAGTGGGGCAACACAACTCATTCTATAGCTGGGACCTACCACACCACACTACACAACACATCACTAATTTAAAGTTACTTCGGGAAAAGAAAGGGAAAAAGCCTTAAGATATAGTAAAAACTGGAGTTGTGGTGTTTATGGAAACAGGTTATTGACATGAGACAAAAAACAGTCAAGGAAAGGAAGTGAAGGAATATAACCCGCAAATGATGGGTTTTGACTTAAAGAAACACTGTAATATTCAACTTTACAAGATACATGTGCTTCTGAGATGAAGGCATAATTATGTCCAGGTAACAAACATAGTACTGTGCCTCAAAGCCCACAATGTTAATACGTTACTTAACATGAGAACCCAGGGTAAAGAAGTCTTCATCAATAACTATTGAGTGTAATTTCATATGAAAAAATTGACACTATCCAAAGCCTTTGCATTATCTGTTGAATTAAGTAAAGTTTGAGTTTATACAAGTCTTATGAAGAAAGTACATTCTGTTTTGTCCACTATTATGTCACATCTGAATTCCTAAGAAATAGTTAAATATCCATAGTAAGTGTTTGACTATACCTATACAATGATTCCTCAACTATTAAGTCACTCAATACTCCTGATTAAAATGCTTACATTTTATTAAATATATTGAATACCTGCACTTGTTAAATAGAAATAAGCTCCTTGTAGCCTGGCACAACTAATGTTTTTATACTTTCAATCAGATGCATAAAAAGTTTCCACCTGTCCAGCTATTCTAAACAGCATCCTGACCCACACATAAAAAGCCTGAAGTCAAACTTGGACCTTTCTACACAATTGAAGGGGGGGAAATTATATGATTTTGAACTAAAACAATTCCCTGTTGAATGATCAACTTGACAGGGAAAGGAAATATATGAAGGCTACTGAATTCAAAGTACTTGCTTTCTAAGTAATGCTAAAAATCAACCACTGGGTCTGACAGGAGAGAAGTTCCTCTTCCTCCACCCCATCTCCCTCTTCTATTAGAGACTAGACCTGTTGATTTTGGGACAGAAATGTATCACCCCCCTTTCACAGTCTCTGTAACTCTGCCTATGCCTTAATGTGCTCTAAAAGTTCTCAGCAAACTTCTTTTTTAAATTACACACCAATTAAAACTTCATTATTCTAGAAGAAAAAATCAGCAAAAAAACTTTTTAATTAAGGTGATTCCAGTTAAACCAGTGCACAACTGAAAGCTAGACATTTAAACATCTTGTTTACTGTCTGATGGCCACCCATTTTTTTACTTATTTTCCTGGTAGCTCAAACAATTACAATGAACAAGAAAACTGGTGCCGACAAGGAACAACCTTAACTAGCCAATGTATAGCAGGAGGAGACAGACAGAGTTGGGGAGTCCCCAAAGTTTTCCTTTGGCTAAGATCTAAAAGCAAGTTTTGAGAAACAACTAGGGGCAGGCTGCTCAGTACTCTCAAAGCAAAATGATACCAAATACTTACCTGCTTCTTAATAAGAGGCAGTGAAAAGAAGAACAGCTTATTATTGTTAATTTCCAGTACAACCAGTTTACATTTGCTGGAGATTGGAACACCTAAAATTTACACCCTCTAGCTTGATTTCAGAGCAACTATGGATTGTTCCTCCCTACAAAACCACTGTTAAAAATCTTTGCAAGATTACAAAGAACAAGCCCCGTTCATCTTCACAACCCAATAAACATACATGGGAATTTCAGACATTTTGGCCTCACAGCAAAGAAATGGGAGATGCAAAATGAACTGCGCTCCATATTGATTCTTAATGCAAATAAGATGAAACGCTATGTGTTTGCATGAAGATAAAAAAGATCTTAAAAAGCCTTACAAATCACTAAAATCTGCAGTCTAGGTCTTTAAAAACTAATACTAAGCTAAATTTCTAACAAAAAACAGAACCATTCTTCCTCAGAGAAAGACCAGGTGAGAAAGGGTGAAGGGAAAAGGTAAAAAAAATAAATAGAATAACCAGAATGCAAACAAGGGATAAAATGAGGAATGGAAGAGAATTCATTTCCTTATTCAGAAAAAAATGTGATGTAAAGTCCTTACATATAAGCCAACAAACATTAAGAGACAGATGTGTGTGTATACACATGCACACAGTTAAGACTGATGAAGAGAATGCTTATGTACACTATTTTATGCCTATCTCTATATATATATTTCTCTTAATCTGACTAAAGAACTTGATAGAATTATTACAACGAAAAGGATAAAAATGGTAGAATTGTTAGTCTCTCTGCAAATGGTCATATGCATAATAAACCAAACAGCTTTCCTCTCAATCACGTCCAACAAATAAAGGGCAAGAGCAATTAAATACCCGCCGAGGAGATTAATACACATAGGTGCAGAGGAAAAAGGGGTGCAAATGGGAAGACAGGAAGGGGGAGGGAAGAAGTAGAGCTGGAGAAAAAAAGAGGGGGAAAAGAAGGGGAGAGAAAGGGTTCTAGGTGTACAGCTGGGATATGCGGGGGTCTGGGCCCCTGATACTGACCTGTGCCGTCGCTTGCGGACACGGAGAGCGCCGGTGAGGAGAGTTTAGGCCGCTTGGCTGAAGGCGGGCCCGGCTCCACCACATTCTCGGCCATTTTTAATTCTTTTTAGACAAACACAACGAGGAGAGAGACGGGGGATCCCCAAAATCTTCGCCTTCCTCTCGGGCCCCCGACTCAGCTGAAGACTAAGGAGAGCGAGCGACGGATCTGGAGGACGCGGGGGTCCAAGTTCCCCTTTTTCTGCCCCTCGGATTCGGTCTCTGGTAGGGTGGCACCGGCTCAGCGGGGGGGGAAGGTGGGGGGTAGGGTGGGGAAGAGGCCTTTTCCCCCGGGCCACGGGCAGAGGGGACGGGAAGAACACGGAAAGCGCCCCCGCCAGAAAATAAAAAGGAGAGAAGAAGCTGGTGGGCTTTTAGTCAAATTAATCCCGGCTGTTGTGCTGCTGGTGCTTCCTCATCTCTGCCACCATCATCTTCATCCTCCGGGGGGTCTCCTCCTCCTGCTGCCGCCTCACCGCCGCCATCAGCCTCTTCCTCCTCGGCGTCGTTCTCCTCCTCCTCATCGCCACAAGGAGGCGGGCGAAGGAGGGGAGAGGAGGAGGAAAAAGGAGAGAGAGAAAAAAATCACCCTCCTCTAGCAGCTCCTTCCCTGTCCAACACCACCCTACAAATAAAAAAAAAAAACACCCACCGCCCGCGAAGGGGCTGGAGGGGAGGAAGACAGCGCGTGTGCGGGGTCCCCAGCTCCCCCTGCTTCTTCCTCGCCAGGCACTAATGGCTGCAGAGAGGGGAGCTGGAAGGATGAGGAGGGTGAGGATAAGTCCCAGGAGTCTCCGCTTCACATCTTGTTGTGCGGGGAAGGAGGAGGGGTTGTTGTCCTGATGGAGGCAACGCCGATCCCGAGATGGGGGTGCAGGGGCGGGTTTCAGCGCCCCCTCCGCTCTCTCGCTCAGCCCGAGGAGCCGGGTGCCCCCCAGAGCAAGCGGAGGGACCGATCCCAAAGCAGGAGGAGGAGGAGGAAGAAGCAGCCGGCCCCTCCCCCCTTCTCTCGCGCTACCTTCCCCCTCCCGAGTGGCTGAGGATGGTTATTAGCGCTGGGTTTGGGCAGGGCAAGGCAGGGGGTGTTGGGCTCCTCTCTTCCCCCCACTCCCTGCGCTCCGCGATGGTCACTCTCCGTCTCTCCCACCGCCGCTCAGGCGCTGCTAGGACGCCCTCTCGCCTCCGCCATAGGGGGCGGGGGCCCCAACGGGGGTCCAGACGCCTCCCAAAATACCGGCCCAAGAGGGGGAAATCTCCCCCTTATGGATAAAACAGACCGCGGGGGGGGTCTCCTCTGCTCCGGGGCGGGGTGGGACGGGGCTTGGAGCGAGGAGGCCGAGCGCGCAGGCTCCCTACTGCCCCTGCCTGGCTCTCGGCGGCTGGCTGCGGGGCTGGTGTGATGTATGTGGGGGATGCGTCTCGGACTCTCTCTTCTCTCCCCGTTCCCCGCCCAGGCCCCTGGGTCTCTCTGCGCTGCCCGCCCCCTGGCTCGCCCCGTCCGGCTCGGTCTCTCTCGCCCTCCCTCAGTCGCTCACACACAAACAAAATGGCGGCTGTTGTTTCTTCACTCTCCCGAGTCCTCACAGGGAAGCGAGCGGCGGCGGCGGCCGGAAATGAGCCAAGAGAAAAAAGGAGGCGGGGCTAGGGGCGGGGGCGGAGCCATGCGGAGCTCGCACTCACAATGGAACGCGGGGGTTGGGGGCTAGAATGGGGGGGGGGAGAATCGGGGGCGGGGCCAGCTGAAGTCACGAGACCAGGCCGACCACTCAGCGTGCGTTGCTCATCGGTCCCTTCCGCAAACTCCCTCACCTCCGCCCCTTAAAGGGGAAGGAGGACGAGGGGGAAAAACCATTTCTCTTCCCCCCACCCACACGGTGTATTATTAGTCGGCCGAAAAGTGCAGCGCGGTGGTTGCTTGGGACAGGCCTGTTGCAATCCTACAGCTGAGGCGGGGGGGAGAGGACGCAACCTGAAGCAGGCAGCTCCTCTGCTGCACAGCGGGGCGGGGGCACGACAGCCCGCGGTGCGGCTCTCCCTGCACGGCATACACTGCATAGACAAAGGCCCCACAGCTAAGCCCCTGGATTTGGGAGGGGAAGGTTTCTCAGGTGGAAGCAGAGCAGTACTTGGCCCATTTTCTACGTAGGTTCCTACACAGACAGCTGGGTATAGATATGATGAGCTGTCTGCACCTATATGTATATTACATCATTGTGCTACCTATGGTTGATAAATCATGGTGCAGGCGTGTGATGCAAAGCTGTGTCTAACCAGCCTGGCAAAATTCCACCTTCCTGCTTGCCTGGGAGAAGAAATTTTATTTATTTAAAATACAGGCATGGACACTATTTTTTCTCCCCCATTATCATCAATCATCATCGGCAAGCACAGCTGCATAGATTTTGTACTGGGACTGATATGCTTTTATGACAATTTTGCGAGGTTGGTTTCTCACAAACACACAAATTCTGATCTCACCTACGCTACTGTACAATGTTATTTACTATGTATCAACATTGGGCTTTGCTCTGCCCCAGGTATAAAGACACTGCCCCATCCAGCAGTTTAAATATATGGCTACTATCCTGCATCTTTTTCCATGTGGGCAGACCCCTACATCTGTGAACAGACCTAGTGACTTAAACAGGCTCTGCACGCACCCAGAGGGCTCCATGCATGCAGAACAAGTTGTAGCAGCTAGGCCTAAAAGACAGGCAAGAATGTATGCAGGGATACAAAATCTGGTGATAACTCAGAAAGGGGAGTTGTTTGGTTAAATTAAAAACAAGAGTGTCTTTAGGGTGACCAGCAAGTGTGAAAAATCAGGACGGGGGTGGGGGGGTAATAGGAGCCTATATAAGAAAAAAGACCCAAAAATCAGGACTGTCCCTATAAAATCAGGACATCTGGTCACCCTAAGTGTCTTCTTTCTTGCCACTTCCCTGTTCAGGGTCAGCAAGTTTTATTGCCTTCTTTCAAAACTCATGACCTGGCGGTCACACAAATTAGTATTTTGATGGTTTGCTAATATCTGGTTCATGTACCATATCTTTGTCCTCTCCCTTGGTCATCTTCCATCCAAGATCAGCTCAAGGGCCATTCTACCAATATAACTCTCAGGTCTTTGCTGGACATGTCCATAACAATGTAGTATAGCCTCCTTCAACTTGTCTTTAGTTGGGACAACTCTCAGTAGGCCCTTTACAGCCTCAGTTCATTTCCTCTCAAGGAATGTCCAGTAATCTCACCATCTCACCATCTTCATTTCCATAATGGAGAGCATACTGATTTCTTTTTCTTGTGGCTGGCCAAGACTCTGTTCTGTACATTAGTATGGGTTGAACTACAGTTTTACACACTACCTTTTAACTTTATTGGTATCTTTTTATCACAGAGAACTGAGGTCAGCTCCCACCATTTGTACCAAGCTGCTTTGATATGATGCCAGACATCATGTAGGAGGGAACCATTGTCAGAAACCATTGATCCTAGGTATTTAAATTATTTCACTCTTCTAAGCTGTCTGCCTACAATATCCTTTGTGGTGGGTCCTCCTCCCTCTGTCTCACCAAAGTTCACTGTAAGTCGCACCTGTTCAAAACTGTGTTGCACTTGTTCAAAGTTGGTTTCCAGTGTCTCACAATCTTCTGCACATATCACTAAGTCATCAGCAAACACCATATTCCAAGATGACTCCCTTCATATATTCTCACTTATCAGATCCATGAAAACCACAAACCAAAAAAGGCTCCAACACTGACCCCAATGCAGGCCATTTACTGGAAATGCTTGCTGTAGCCTCGTATGGATTGGACTGTGGTAGTCATTCCATCATACATAACCAGATAAAAACGGACATATCCTTCTGGCACACCCCTCCGTTGCAAATTCCACCAAATTAATTATCTTGGTACATGATCATATGCCTTCTCCAAGTCCACAAAGACAATACCTAGTTGCCACCTCTTTTTTCTCTGCGCTTCTCCTGGAGGATTCATAGAACTATGGCGTAGATTGTACTCCTTCCACACATAAGTCCCTACTGACCCTTCCAGACTTCAATTGAGCCACACAAATGCTTTTCAGTAATCTTCTCCCACATTTTCATAGCATATGATATTGGCTTAATTGGGCAATAATTAGCATACAATGTAATATCTCTTTTATGTTTTAAAACAGGCACCACAAAGCTGTACACCATTCATCCGACAATTTCTTTTTCTTGAGAATATCATTGAACAGACTTGTAAAATACTTGACACTTTCCCTTCCCAGTGATGTCAGCGCATCCACCCGTACTTTATCAGTCCCAGGTGCTTTCTCCTGTTTCTTTTTCATAAGTGCCTGTACATCCTCTTCCTCCTGTATGCAATCTATCACACCACAGGTTGGCTTACATATACATAGTTTTCCCTCGGATTCTCCTCATTGATCACTCTTTCCAAATGATCACTCCAGACTTCGTTGATTGGTTCACCATTCATTTTCAATAACCGTGTTCATTTCTAATATAAACAAACTCTTTTACATCCCTTACCATTTTCTTTCTCGCCTAAGCGAGTTTGTAGATGGTCTGTTCTCTCTCATATCCTCCTAATCTGTTATATAGATTTCCACAAGCCAAATTTTTAGCTGTCACAACACTTATTTGGCCTTTTTATTTTCCTCCATATATGTCATTTTATCATTGCTCAAACCACTGGCCTGCCATTTTCTAAAGGTTACCTTTTTCTTCTCAACGGATTCTTTAACTTGAGGATTCCACCTCTAAGTCTCCCTTTAAATCCTTTTTGGTACTGGTTTCACCACTCCAAGGACTTCATGTGCCATCTCCAGCAATGTTAACTTTAGTTTGTGCTCATTATCCTCCACACATCCCTGTGTGTAGTCAGGAAGTCTACCTATTACTTCTTGTTTAAAGATTTTTTTTATTTCCAGTGTTAAGTTTCCACCACTTAGGCTTTTCCAGTGCTCAGGGGTTCAGGTGTTTTGAGGACTCTGCGTTCTGAAGTCCGTAAGAAGAAGTCTGTGCTGGTTCACAGTACACTCACTGGTGTGACACAGTGATGTCCTGCTCCTCTCTTCTGCTCTTTCTATGCAGACACAGAGACCTTCTGTTGTTAAACACCCCAGTGCAGTCTATTTACATTTGCTCTTCCCAGCACATTACTGGTCCATACACCATAATTAATTACAGTTTCAGGTTTCTCCTCAGTTCTCCACCAAGGAGAAAAAAGAGAAGAGATCCCTCTACCCAGAGATCCTTCCTGGTTCTGGCTCTGCTAGCTTGCCTGTCTCTCTCCTGCACTCTCTTCCTGTGCCTTTTTACACCTCCTGTGTTAATGGGCCAATTTGCTCATTAGTCCTCCCGCAACTCATTCTAATACACCAATTGGGCCCTGTCAGATCTACCTGGGAGAGGCAGGGCGGATTAACTGGTGTTGAAGTGACCAGAGTGCTGGCTCAGCTGTTGGTTCCTAGCACTCTGTCATAGCTGAGTATTACCTTACAAGTCATTATTCATGATCTACCTCTTCTTGTTGTTAAAAATAAATCAATTTGACACTGCTGGCATAGGTTATTAGGTGGCTTTCCCTCTTCAGAAAGGGTGTGTTTGCAGTCACCAAGTCCAGTGCCAGAAAAGTCTGTAAGACCATTTCCCCCTTGAAGTTTCTGGTTCCAATGCCATGCCCTCTGTGGACTGCTTCATACCCATCCTTCACATTTCTAACATGTGCATTTAGATCTGCTCCTCTCTCATTGGATGGTATGTTTCCAATAAGGCATAATAACTCATCTAAAAACTCCTCTTTTACATTTTGATTCTATCCTAGCTGTGGTGCATGCCCACTTATTATATGGCTATTTACCTCTCTCCAGCACAGTTTAACACTCATTAGTTGGTTTGACCATCTGGAAACCTCTATCATATGCCTGTGCATGGTATAATTCAGCATAACTCCAACACCATTATAGGAGGTTGAACTCTCTGAATAGTAGATTTTGTGACCCTCCACTAGTATCTTGGCTTTATACCTTTTCCATTTAGTCTTTTGTACATGTGCCACTTTTACTATTCTCCTCTTTAAGACCTCAAATACCTCCAGCTTTCTTCCAGTCACCGTTCCTGCGTTTCAACGTGCATACCTCAGCTCACTCCACTTACCAACTTGCTTCTTTAACTTTTGCATCCATTGCCCGTTACAATAGTCATACAAGACTGTTGTATGTCTCTCACAGGGAACACCCTAGCCATCTGACATGGACATCACGTGACATGGACATCAGTTCACATGAGCATATCTATTGGACAAACTTTTCAGGTCCTCTGTCCAAGCTGGCACCCTTGGTTTGAAATGGGTGTTTCCCTTCTCCTAGGTCCCTGTCGAAGCTACCAAGCCCCACCTGTACTGGCAAAACTTATTTTAAGGCAGTGTTTATTTGCTTTGACATACGTATCATAGGGTCTATGTGGCATTTGATAGAGGTAGTGACACCACCAGCTATCCCACCATGCCCTGCTAAGAGATGCCACCAGTTGCTCTGCAACTGTTTACTGGAAAATTGCAGCTGTTCTAC